CTTAATATGCTCTCCATACTATGGCGGTGGGCATAAAAATAATCAAAATTGGAAGCTTTTAGCCCATCAATTCGTGCTGGATCCGGCATGACACATACCATTATACTCACGTACGTAACCCAAATGTTTTTTTTTATTTAACTCTGTGTTAGAAGCAGAGCCAACTAAACCAAAATATCATGTCGAATTCCTTTATTTATACAATGTAATATAAACAACAAATTTCTTATACCAACTAACAGCAATCATTAACCCGTATAAATATCCTTTCCGTCTATAAATGTCATCAAACATCAATCGAGGTCTACGCCAAAACATGGATCTCTATTGATATGATTTGCAAGAAGTTCGAAAATACCAAAAAAATCGGGCACCGATTTTAGTCATCTCCGAACTTATCACATGTGTATAGAATTCTTTCTAACTCAATTTCTTTTTAAGATAATTTTGTATTTGAACTTTAAAAGGTTTGACATTTACCTCTATCGGTAAAAAAATCATGAGTAATTAATGAATACGGAATTCCTAGACCACATAACAGATTTTTACTGGAAATAAATACCTTAACTCATTTATGACCTGACCAACAAATGTTAGCTTCACGCCGAAAAAAAAACTTAACTCAAATTAAAGAAACGCCATTTCCATAATTTAAAATTTCCCAATACCTTCTTCATCTTTATTTTCATCAACGCGCCCATAAACGAATATTTTTTGTATATAAATCCTAGTATATGTTTGTATTTTAAATGGAACTTGAAGGAAATATTCTATTAATATTCACTATCAAGAGGCCATCCATCCATATTTCCATTTTCACAAAAACACATTTTGTCGACATTGTTGTTTTTTTTTTTTTTTTGTAGATAATAGAAACGTATCGTCAATCACATCCATGAAAGCTATTAAAATATAATAAAAGACAATAGCATTTTAATAGAATGTGTACACAAATCGAGGTATGTAGATTGAGCCTCTTAATAGTGAAATATTCAATATTTTGAAAAAAAAAAAGCTTCACAATATATTGAAGTATGTGTGTATTCTATTTATTACATTATTAATTTGTGTACATATATGCTTGTGCAGTATTGAACAATACTCGACTTAAATCTTTTAAGACTTAATTATTTTTGCAAGTTAAATTTTTGAAACAAAAACATTACGCACCAATATCTTGCGATTTGAAAGACAAAACGTATAGAATTGACCTGAAAGAACTATTTTAAGTGAGGCAGAAAAAAATCTTTGAGTAAATTTGGGGGACTCCACTCAACAAGCATACCTTGGATTTATAAGAACACTTGTAACATTCGTTTATAATATCACAATTGCTGACACTGGCTGAAGTCATAAGTCGAATATTTTAATAATTTTACACAGAAAGTATTTTCAAACTTTCCTCAGAGTTTTATGATGTGCAACACTGCTCTATGTGTTGGAACGTCGAATTTTATTCGTACTAAAAGAGTCGTTATCCACATAACAAATGAAACTAAGAACAAGTAAAAAACCCTCCACCATCGCTAAAATCATCAAAATATCGAATATCGGGGGTACTGTATATGGGGGCTATATGAAGACGTGGACCTATATGGCCCATTTTCTGTTTTATGCTGCAGTATCTATTACGAACTTAAAATACCAAATTTGGAACGATTCCGCTAAATAATGTCGCTAAAATCATCAAAATCGAATATCGGGGGGTACCGTTATATGGGAGCTACACGAAGACGTGGACCTACTTGGCTCATTTTTTGACTTAGTATGTAGTATCCATTACGAACTTCAAATACCAAATTTTAAACGATTCCGGTAAACAATGTCGCTAAAATCATCAAAATACCGAATATCGGGGAGTACCGTTATATGGGGGCTACACGAAGACGTGGACCTGCACAGATAATTTTCTGTCTTACACTGTAGTATCCATTACGAGATTCAAATGCCAAATTTAAAACAATTCCGGTGAATAATGTCGCTAAAATCATCAAAATACCGAATATCGGGAGGTACCGTTATATGGGGGCTATATGATAACTTGGACCTACATGGCCCATTTACGAACTTAACCTGCCTACTGGCAAAATATACATGTGTGAAAAATTGTAGCCTTCTATCTCAATTTGTTCGAAAGATATCGTGATTACAGCAGACAGACAGACGGACATCGCTAAATCGTCTTTGTTAGGTCTGACATGAGTATTTCGAGGAGTTACAAACGGAATGACAAAATTAAAAAACATAAAGTGGGTGAGGCCGTTGTATATGGCCCCCATGCAAAAACGGGAACCTATGTAGGAAATTTTAAACTTCAAGGATTGTCATCTAAAAAATCTTTTTAAATACCACATTTGGAACAATTTCGTGGGTAAATGTGACTAGGATTATCAAAATACGCAATATCGGTGGGTATTGTAATATGCGCGCTTTAGAAAAACGTGGACCTAAATATTCAATGTTCTGCCACCGGAGCTAGAACCCATTATGATCAACAAATTCCAATCTTTAGACAAATCCTTAAAAAATATGCAAAAATGATAAAAATACCGAATACCGTTCTATGGCGGATATACCTAAGCGTAAACCTATATATACAATGTTTCGCAACCGGATCTGGAATCCATTATGACCTACAAATACCAATTTTTAGACAAATCCGTTAGACAAGTTCGTAGAAAAATGTGGCAAAAACCTTTAAAATAGCGAATATCGTTTAGGCTATACCTAACCGTGGACAGCTATGTATCATTTTCAATACCAACCATCCTAGACGCAATTCAAATTTTTCTACCAAATTTTGAAGGTCTACGTAACGGACGTAGACGGACGGACATTGTCAAATCGACTTAGAATTTTATGCTGATTATGAATATATATATATACTTTATGGAGTCCATGACGAATATTTAGGGATATTACAAACGGAATGACAAAGTTAATATACTCAACTTTTCAAGGTGTAGGGTATAAAAATAAGTTCCACGCAAAGTTTAAAGCTGCTACGAGACAATGGATTTTGGAAATACGACGTATTTCATCTTAAATCAAACACATCATTATTATCGAGAATTAAAGAGGTATACTTTTTCTGGCAATTACGAGATTCAAATGCCAAATTTAAAACAATTCCGGTGAATAATGTCGCTAAAATCATCAAAATACCGAATATCGGGAGGTACCGTTATATGGGGGCTATATGATAACTTGGATCTACATGGCCCATTTACGAACTTAACCTGCCTACTGGCAAAATATACATGTGTGAAAAATTGTAGCCTTCTATCTCAATTTGTTCGAAAGATATCGTGATTACAGCAGACAGACAGACGGACATCGCTAAATCGTCTTTGTTAGGTCTGACATGAGTATTTCGAGGAGTTACAAACGGAATGACAAAATTAAAAAACATAAAGTGGGTGAGGCCGTTGTATATGGCCCCCATGCAAAAACGGGAACCTATGTAGGAAATTTTAAACTTCAAGGATTGTCATCTAAAAAATCTTTTTAAATACCACATTTGGAACAATTTCGTGGGTAAATGTGACTAGGATTATCAAAATACGCAATATCGGTGGGTATTGTAATATGCGCGCTTTAGAAAAACGTGGACCTAAATATTCAATGTTCTGCCACCGGAGCTAGAACCCATTATGATCAACAAATTCCAATCTTTAGACAAATCCTTAAAAAATATGCAAAAATGATAAAAATACCGAATACCGTTCTATGGCGGATATACCTAAGCGTAAACCTATATATACAATGTTTCGCAACCGGATCTGGAATCCATTATGACCTACAAATACCAATTTTTAGACAAATCCGTTAGACAAGTTCGTAGAAAAATGTGGCAAAAACCTTTAAAATAGCGAATATCGTTTAGGCTATACCTAACCGTGGACAGCTATGTATCATTTTCAATACCAACCATCCTAGACACAATTCAAATTTTTCTACCAAATTTTGAAGGTCTACGTAACGGACGTAGACGGACGGACATTGTCAAATCGACTTAGAATTTATGAATATATATATATATACTTTATGGAGTCCATGACGAATATTTAGGGATATTACAAACGGAATGACAAAGTTAATATACTCAACTTTTCAAGGTGTAGGGTATAAAAATAAGTTCCACGCAAAGTTTAAAGCTGCTACGAGACAATGGATTTTGGAAATACGACGTATTTCATCTTAAATCAAACACATCATTATTATCGAGAATTAAAGAGGTATACTTTTTCTGGCAAAAATTATTTAATCGTGTTCTTTGGGGTTCTACTCATAACATAGGGTGGAAAAGGTATTATTAGTTTTTTTTTTTTTTTTTTTTTTTTTGAAACGTATATATTCCATGAACACAGTGTGTATAAACAAGTGTTGGAATCTGGCAGTAGTTTCGAATAAATTGTTGCATGTTAGCAGCATTTGGACACAAATAGTCGAGTACCATTAGTTAATATACTTTTGTCAAATATTAAGAGAATTTGCCTTGACTTTGGCTCATTAAACCAATATGTATCCCGTTTCAGATCAACGTTTTTGCTAAATCTTTTTCATTTAGCCATCACCACGTCCTGGATTTTTTCGAGCCCTTCGTGTGATTATTATAGTTAACAGTGCAGAACATTGAGCAGTGGATGAACATATATTATCCAGATTCAAAGGGGATTCGAAATATAAATGTTTCAATTTTTGATAAAAAAAACATGACCTGATCGGTCAAATTTAAAATTCTCTCAATAACCTAAACTCAACAGAACCTCTCTGAAAGAAGAATAAATGAATAAATTGTAGTATAAGAGTGACCATTATATCAAGTTTTCCAAAAAAAACGGGTAGGAGACGTTAAGAAATTATTAATTCAATTCTAAGTAGAGTAGTTCTAAGTAGTAGAGCAATGCCGTTCGTCCTCTTTATTTAAATTTTACAGCGCTAGGCCATTTAAATAGTACAAGGATCTGTTTTTAGAAATTTCCACATCAAATACTTACCGTTTTCCTTTAAAGGCCAGTAGGTACTTCTTGTTCGACGGAAAGTGCATCGATGAGGCCAGACCCGTTGAACCGGCACGCAACGGAAATTGCTTGTGAAACAATGGAATGCTTATATCGAAGCCATGACGAACATGCTGGATACTCATACTGGCCTTGGCCAAAATCGCCTCACCCGTATCGAAGCCCAGCGAATGTTCAACATAGTCGGGCCACGTGCCCGAATACAAATTGAAGATGACATGATTACGACCATTGTTCCAATGGGGTAGACGAGCCAAACGAGATGGCACATTGCGCACGTAATCCTCGGACAGCGAGTCGCGATCCAGGGTATCAATACCCAATACGAACAGACATGCCTTTTGAGGATCCGGCGTATGATATCGCGATTCTTGTATGGCGGTTATGATTTTTTGATAATTGGGCGATATCGGTGGAGCGGCACCCAACGAGTTTAATGGTTCAGGTGGATAGACATAGATGAGAAACTCATTGTAACATCTGCTGAAGTCGAAACAGGTTTCCATGCGACAAGGACGCATGGACGTGGAGGAAGACGTTGCGGAGCTGCCTTGGCTGTTGGAGTTGGCCAACTGCTGATCTGCAGCTACTGCTGCTGCCGGCGCTGCTGAATTCGAGGTACTAAGCATAGAGCTTCGAGTCTTGTGTACCAGCTCTACTACATCGGGCTTAACAGAGTGCAGGAAGTCCCGACCCATTTCACTGGCCACAAAGCTTGGCAATTGATCTAAGGTTTCACTATCACTGTCCGCGTTCGATGATGACGATGACGGCAGCCCGGAATTTCGACGACGATGCGTTGCAGTTTTCAGCCGGTAACCGCCGAAATAACAGTAAGCGAGGAACGCGCACGACACAAAAACCAAAATATAACGTTTCTTGGCTTGCATTTTTCTACTAATCTACCGTGAAATGGCCTAGGACAAGTTCACTGAATGGCGTTTGCTTTAACAAGGAAATGGGGGAGAAGGGGTGTTCAACAATTTATTTCGGATAGTGAAATGGTCGCGGTTTTTCAAGGGTATTCTTCGTTTTGTTAAGGTGGGACTAGTGGTTAGTAGATGTGTTTCACTCAAGGATTGGGGGGATTTGACAACTATGTTCAGTTTATGGTGCCCTTTGTGGGTCATTCATTTGTTTTTGCTTTTCGTAGCTGCACGATTTCACCGAAATTACTACTCGATAACGCTTGCATCTCGCTGCCCGATGAGATTTACGATACATCTAAGAGCTCCCAGCTACAACTAAAGGAGATGAATGGCAAACTACACATACATTGTTGTCGTTTGTATCTACTCCAAGCACTGCACATTTTCTATTTTATTTGTTTTTTTTTTCGTGCAATAGCTTCCCTTCCAAGGAAAAACTCAGCCTGGTGGCCAACAACAAGTCACACACACACGCACTCACTTGCCCTGTCCCGTTTCTTGTAATTCTGGGCTATTATGCGTTTCTATTCAGGAAAGATTTCGTTCTTTTTTCGTGGTAACACACTACTCCCTTTCCATGCACTCGTGTCCGTCCATCTATTTCGGAAGCGCGGGGCGGCACAGTCCATACACTTCCTTTTGGGGGGCGTTAGCCAACAAATTCTATTGCCCATTCATTTCTCGCACTTCTTCGATTACATCCGCACATTTGAAAATTGCATTCACTTGACATCGATGATCCGCGCTTTCATTTGTATTTGTTAGATTTTTTGATTTTCTTTAATTATTTTCCCAATGAAAATTGAATATTTTTCTCACGCACAACACAACACATAGAATTTTTACCGACCGAAATTTATAGTTAGGTTTCTCGAGATCGAAAACGGGAGGATTTGTAAAGAAAAACAGAGAAACATAATGAGTTGAGAGAGAATGTTTGGAGAGTGAGTGAGAATAATTTGTATGACAGCCATATCTTCTTCTTTATCCAATAAGAATTACAAATCACGAACGAATGATAACATTTGTTTGCCAACCAATATCCACCAGTGATGCCATTCAGGTGGATTTAATTTTATAGAATTGTGAGTTATTTTAAATTGGCCCAATTGTTGATCAACAAAAATTCAAAATGTAAACATGTTCAAATTTAGAGAAGCCAACAACTTTCTTTAAACAAAATTGTGCACCGTGGGCTTATTTCTTGTTCTATGAAAATTTAAAATGCACTTTTATCCATAGGAAAGAAAGGTAAGATGAAAACTGTATTAAATTTCATAGGACGAGAATTAAGCCTCTCTTCCGCTATCATTCATATGTTTAGGTAACTGATTGTCGAATCGAATTCCACTTTTTGTTCAGAGACCTTTTAGGGCTCTTTTAATTTCGTTTTTGTTTTTTCTACATTTTATCCATGAAGTATGTACAGACTTTGGTCGTTATTTTATTAATTAAAATAATTTTCGTGGTTTGTGTGTTTATCGATGTTTATAAATTTGTAATAAAGGAACTCACTACAACTTAAACCAATTTTAAACTGTTATTACTTATTTGCTACTTTATTAAAACAAATATTTGATTTAATTGTCGAAAAAGAAGGCTATTTTTACAAATCCACTAAAATTTGAGCGAAAGTGTGTTTAAATAAAAATATTAGCATTTCGTTTTAATATTTTGCGCTCCCTTTACGATTCTCTCTACTCATCATCCTATTCTCTGTTACGTTTAATGTTGTTAAAAAAGGCGGATAATGTAATTTCAACAAACAAACTTTTACGGTATTTACATTCTTTTCTTGAATTACCAACTATTTTTGAAAATAGTTTAATCTTTAAGATTACACAATTGTGCTGTTTTGCATCTTGTATCATTCATAAACAAATTTATTCCACGAGAAAAACTTAGTGCACACCGTCCGTACCGCCTGTTCTTGCAATGCGTTCGTTACAAAGTCTCATAGGAAACTGAGTATGTTTAATTTGTTGTACCAGCAGTCATGAAAAATGTGAATGTTTGTTGTCTTCCTTCCGTCAAGTTTTGTTTTTGTTTACGTTATTAAATCAAAATGTGACATATAAACTGGACATGCGCTTTGTGACAAACAATTTGAAGCAGCGACATCTCGATTCTGTACAAAGAAGTCATTTCACAGTTAGTAGACCGTGTGTCAATGTCAAAACGATAGTGCCAATACTAATTAGAAATAATTTATTCTGTTTGGACAAAAGGTAAATTCGACAACTGAATGGAATATGTGAGTGTCTTTTTACACAATGTTTTTAAACAATTTTAGGTATATTTTTTGTTTTAAATGCGGATATCAATTCTAATACAAAAATAGGTAATGTAAAGCTACCAACTGATACCAATTTTTTTGAGTGTTGATCCATGTCTGTCCATGTTAATTTGTAATCACTCTACAGGTCGCAATTATGGCCCGATCTTCAGGAAATTTAGAATGGAGGTGCGGCTAGGGCCAGAATAGAAGCCTATTGGAGATTTTTTTGGAGATGATTGCATAATATTTAGGTTGAAATTGACCAATACCTTTTCCTGATTTTGCAGTTGCTCTACAGGTCGCAATTATAGACCAATCGAAGCGGAAGTTAGTTTGGGGCTAGAGCTTGGGGCTGGGCAGAAGCTTTCCGATTTGAATGGTCATCGGATAATATTTAGTGGGTTAAATAGACCATAACATTTGTGTTAAATAAAAGTCAGATTTTCCATTAAAAGTAAAAATTTTTTATATCGTATATATATATATATATATACAGCGAAATATATACAATTTTCATACATAAAGGGGATAATAGCTAGAATGCTTATATATCAAGAATGGCTGGACCGATTTGACACATTTTGTCAATTCAGAATGTCCTCTTGGCATAAAGGAAAAAAATCGCATAAAAAGATGCCAATAATAATGTTAATATAGATTTTGTAGTGTTTTCTGACATTTTTTATTATTTTTTTCGTATTTTTTATCGCATGCGATTTTTTCAATTTGACTTATAATATTTAAGTGTATATTTTGTAATATTTTTCACCTTACAACACAGTTTGGGGTTATTATATACAAATTGCAATTATCATCCGATCCTCACGAAAATGTGCGTAAGGGTAGGGTTAAGCTTAGAAGGTCTAGGCCTATTGTTTTCAAATATGTCCGCAATATATTTAGGGGTTGAAATGGACCAGCAACTAAAAATGTTCCTGATTTTGCAGCCTTTATAAAGGTCACAAATAGAAACCAAAGGAAACGAAATCTCGCATGAAGTTAGAGTTTAAGACAGCGGGTAGACGAATATAGCCAAATATCGTAGACAAGCAAATAATATAGATGAGACAAAATTTGGAGATACAGAGGGGCCTTCTGCTTTTGGAGATGATTGAAAAATATTTAGGGGTTCAAATGAACCAAAAACAGAAATGTTTTTCCGATCACACAATTGAAGCAAATCGACACACCTGAGAAGAGAGTTAAGGACAGGGAAGAATTCTAGCATTTTGGATGACCATTGGATTATATTTAGCTGTAAAAAGGACGACAACAACTAATAGCACGACGGAGTGCGTGAATATTTAGGAAATGTCCTGGTCAAAATGTTAAGGGCAATATCTCGGCAGTGCTTCGTGACATAATTTCAAAAGCGAAATTTTCCAAAATGGATTTGGACATAAGGGGGCTTCTAACATATTGTAGTGTTGTAGCCTTTGCTTACTTGTTTTCTTTTGTAATTTGAAATGATTTTAATATAAGTACCTGCAAGAATCTACTAGTTTTGCAATTTTTTCGATATCATAAAGATATCGAAAATGGGTTATCGTAGTAAAAACTTTTTCATTCTTGAAGATCTGGAACAGACCAAAGGCAAATTCGTCCTCAATGATATATTCTAGGAGTTTTTACAATGTTGATTGCCTCTTTAGAGGGCAAAGTATATTAATAGCTTCTTGCTTTATAAAACACAATCGTCGCCCTTGTTGACCTATCGCTGTGTTTGGTAAAAATATTTACAAATTAGTTGGAAAGGGATAGTTTCGGTATTGTCTTGATGATGGCGTTATTAAGGAATCAAGAAAAATATATATTTCCATCATGTCCCAAACAATTAAATTTTAACGATCAGAACATAAATAATTTGTACCAAAAGGTGGTATATTAGACATCTGATGGTGCTGAATACATATACGGTATTGATCATAGAGTACGCCAAATCTTGTTGAGAGATATCTAGTTTGTTCGAGTGTTTATGTTGGGTTTTTGTACACTTTCAAAGAGATGTGAAATGATAACTAACAAAAAAAATAAGCAAGAAAATGTATGCGAAATGAGTGAAAGAAAAAAAGAAAAATCCTTAACCAGCGGGCTAGAATGTTGACATATAAGTTAACGGCTCACCCTAATAAACATCAAACTAAATATGCAAACCAACTAGTAAACATTCCCATCATTATGCTGCGCAAGCAGTCCGACAAATCAACAGGAATATGACACCAGGGCAGTCATCCGCCACAAACACGCGCACTAATACCAGCGCTCCGCAAGTGATGACTCAGCGTAATAACGAGCACGACCAGGCTGCAGTATAATATTAGTTTTAAGTTGAAGTATTCATAATTGTAAATCCAACAAGAGAGGTGCATAGCACCGCAACATAAATGTTAGTAACAAAATAAAGAAACACCATAGCAGTGTGAAATAAACTTTAACTTCTAACATTAACTGGCGCCCAACAACTACAAGGATCAACACATCCTAGAACCCAACAACCACAAGGATTAAAACATCCCAACAGCCGGTACGAGAACCGTTCCTGAGTAGGAGTACGAAAAGGATGTTACGTAAGAACTAGCGGACTACCGGGATATAAGGAAAATGATCAAATTATTATTAGTAAGTTATTATAAATTTAACAAAAGTAAAAAAGAAGAAATGTTAAAATAAAATTAAACAAAATAAGGAATAACACAGAAAGTGAAAGTGTGAAATCTAATTTACAAAAATCATATTTGTGCTAGAATACGTTTAACAAAAATAACAAAGTAAGAAGAAAGAAATGTTAGAGTAAGGTAAAACAAAAAATAAAGTGTGACATCTAAATTTACAAAAAAAATCATATTTGTGCGAAATTAACAAATGTAAGAAATATGAAATGTTAGATTAAGTTAAACAAAAAAATAGAGTGTGGCATCCAAATTTAAAGAGTCATATCCGTGCTGAAATAAGTTTAAAGAAATTTTGATAATAGATTTGTGACGAGAACTAGGATTTGGTGTTTCTTTTTCTCCTTTTTTTCGAGCGGCCAATGCCGGAAGATTTAAACAACTTAATAACAAGGGTCGAAGCTATGAGTGTTTCAGGACAGACATCTTCGCCTTCTGGGGCAGCTCCCGTAAGGTTTAATCCCTTTACGGAAAGTCAGACTAATGAGGTGAAACGAATAATAAGTGAGACGGTGGCAAACCTTCTCAAACAGGGGGAGGATGTTACCGCCACTAAAGATGTCGACATAGAAGGATCTGGGGATATCTCAGAAGGAGAGAGAATACCAGACATAGTGAAGACGTTAAGGGAATTCTCGGGCAAGCCAGGAGAATTTAGTTCGTGGAGGAAAGCTGTTGATAGGATCATGAACATTTATGAGTCACAAAGGGGAACAACCAAATACTTCACAATTCTACACACTGTTAGGCATAAAATTGTTGGTGAGGCCGACACGGCTTTGGAGTCTTATCGGACCCCATTAAATTGGAAAGCGATAAGAAAGTGTTTAGTGCTTCATTTTTCAGATAAGAGAGATATTTCGACCTTAGAGTATCAAATGACCGTCCTATCTCAGGGTGGGCAAACCATAACAGATTTTTACCAGAAGGTTTACCACCATTTGTCTTTGATTCTGGACAAGATTGATTGTCTGGATATAGGGAACGAGGCTTTGGATGTATTGACCCAAACATATAGGGACAAGGCTTTGGACACCTTTATTCGAGGACTTAATGGTAATCTTCCAAGCTTAATGAGTGTTACAAACCCGACAAGTTTGCCTCAGGCTCTAAATGCCTGTTTAAAATTAGGTAATCTAGGTGTGCGTATTCAACACGCTACCGAGAAAGGATCTAGACCAAACAGGATCCCCCAAACTAACCCTCCTAGACATTTTTACCCACAGCTGACGATTGGTGATAGGAATTTTCAAGGTAACCAAAGGTACAGAGGCCCTACTCAATATCGTTATCAGAATTTCCGAAGTGGAGAACAACAATACGGAGGGCCGGCGAACTTTTCGAATCGACCTCCAGTAGTGAATAATTTTGGACACCCCCAATACGGAGGATACAGACCCCCACTTCCTCCTAAACCTGCTGTACCAATGGACGTGGATCAATCAATACAGACTAGGCAGGTAAACTATCAGAATAGGCCACAGTTGAGTAATGCTTTTAACAATGTTCAGCCTAACTTTAAGAGAAATAATTCAGGAAATATTCATCAGCCGCAAAAGCAGCAGAGAATGTTTAATGTTGAGGCCCAAATACGTGAGGATGCAGAGCCGGATGAAATGAATGGTTCTGATGAACAGGAATATGAGGTTTCCTATGACGAAGCGTACGAGGAGGATCTAGACGATCAGTTGGCAATTGTAGATGACGTTAATTTTTTAGACTAGCTTCAACGTTGCCATACCTCCCTTTCAGAATGAAAAATGGCAACGAACTTAAATTTCTTATAGACACCGGTTCGAACAAAAATTATATTAATGGCAAATTTATTAAAAACCCTCTAAAGAACCAGAAACCTTTTCATGTTAAGTCCGTAGGCGGCATAGTTAGTATAGAGACCCATAGTTTTATTGACATTTTTAATTGCGGGATCGGAAAGTTAGAATTTTACATCCTTCCTGGTCTAGAGACCTTTGATGGGATAATAGGGAATGATACCCTGAAATCTTTGAATGCAGTGATTTACACTTGGAGATCCTATCTCACAATTCTGGATGGAAAGAAATTTCCTTTGAAAGAGCTGCAAATTGATGAGATTAATAACATGAATCTACGTTTAAATCATCTAAATCCCGAAGATGAAAAAGAAGTCAGGAATATTTTGGATGACCATCCAAACCTTTTTGCAGATCCCAATAAAAAACTCACTTATTCAACAATCGTACAAGCTGAAATTAATACGAGTAGTGATAGTCCAGTTTATTCAAAATCCTATCCGTATCCAATGGCACTGAAATCCGAAATTGACAAACAGATAGAAGAACTATTAAGGGACGGGATAATTCGCCCTTCCAGGTCCGCATATAATGCTCCAGTTTGGATAGTACCAAAAAAACCAGATGCTTCAGGTGTGAAAAAATACCGCATGGTTATTGACTATAGGAAACTTAATGAGATAACTAGACCTGACAGATACCCCATACCTGAAATTACAGAAATCTTGGCTAACTTAGGCGAACAGAAATACTTTTCCACCATAGATTTAAAGAGCGGATTCCATCAGATTCCACTTAAGGAATCCGATATTGAGAAAACAGCTTTTTCCGTCAAGAATGGAAAGTTCGAGTTCACAAGACTACCATTTGGACTACGTAACGCGTCTGCAATAT